CACAAAAACACACAGGGTCTCATTCTGTTCTCCAGGCTGGAATGCAGTGGTACAGTCACAGCCCACTGCAGCCTCGACCTCCTGGGCTCAAGTGGCCCTGCACCTCAGCCACAGGTGTATCTCACTGTACCCAGCTAATTTTTAAAAAATTGGCTGGGCGTGGTGGCTCATGCCTGTAATCCCAGCACTTTGGGAGGCCAAGGCAGGCAGATCACTTGAGGTCAGGAGTTCAAGCCAGCCTGGGCTGATCTTGAAACTCTGTCACTACTAAAAAAATAAAAATAAAAATAAAAAAATTAGCCTAGTCTGGTAATACATGCCTATAATCCCAGCTAATGGGGAGGCTGAGGCAGGAGAATCACTTGAACCCAAGAGGTGGAGATTGCAGTGAGCTGAGATCGCACCCAGTGCACTCCAGCCTGGGCGACAGAACTAGACACCATCTCAAAAAAAAAATTTTGTTGTTTTTTTTTTGTATAGGCGAGGTATCACTATGTTGCCCAGGCTGGGCTTGAACTCCTAGGCTCAAGGGAGCCTCTTGCCTTGGCCTCTCGAAGTGCTGGGATTACCGTTGTGAGTCACTGAGCCCGGCCTGTCTTCCATACCTATGGTTCCTTTGTCACAATTAAGACACCAACATTAGGCCGCTCATGCCTGTAATCCCAGCATTTTGGGAGGCCGAGGCAGGTGGATCACCTGAGGTCAGGAGTTTGAGACCAGCCTGGCCAACATGGTGAAACCCCATCTCTACTAAAAATATAAAAAACTAGCGTGGTGTTGGGCGCCTGAAATCCCAGCTGCTCGGGAGGCTGAGGCAGGAGAATTGCTTGCACTCAGGAGACGGAGGTTGCAGTGAGCTGACAGCGCCACTGCACTCCAGTCTCAGTGACAGAGTGAGACTTCATCTCAAAAAAAAGAAAGAAAGAAAGAAACCAACCTTGATATGTTACTGCTAACTCCAGGCTTTATTTGGATTTCACTAGTTTTTCTACCTAGGTCCTCTCTCTGTTACAGAAATCTATTCAAGATACGACTTTGCCTTTAGCCATCATGTCTCCTTAGTCTCCTGTGGTCTGTCACAATTTCTCAGTCTTTCCCTGTTTTTCATGACCTTGAGAGTTTTGAGGAGCACTGCTCAATTTTATAGATTGAATGAGTCTTTGGTAAAGTGTCCCTCAGTTGGGGTTTGTCCGATGCACTCTCGTGATGAGGGTTTGAGATGTAGGGAGGAGACCACAGAGGCGATGTGTTCTTCTCATTGCATCGTCTCAGGGCTGACGTGACATCACTGGTGAGGCTGACCTCAGTCACCTGGTTAACGTGGTGTCTGCCAGATTCTTCCGCTGTCAAGTTACTATTTTTCTTTTCTTTTCTTTTCTTTTCTGAGATGGAGTCTTGCTCTGTCCCCCAGTGTCTCCCAGGCTGGAGTGCAAAGGTGTAGTCTCGGCTCACTGCAACCTCCACCTTTCGGGTTCAAGTGATTCTCCTGCCTCAGCCTCCTGAGTAGCTATGATTACAGGCGCCTGCCACCATGTCCAGCTGGGTGGGCCGGCCCAACCAGTTTTTTTTTGAGAGATGGGGTCTCAGCCGGGCACGGTAGCTCACGCCTGTAATCTCAGCACTTTGGGAGGCCGAGGCAGGCAGATCACAAGGTCATGACATCGAGACCATACTGGCTAACACGGTGAAACCCTGTCTCTACTAAAAATACAAAAAAAAGAAAATTAGACAGGCGTTGTGGCGGGCGCCTGTAGACCCAGCTACTTGGGAGGCTGAGGCAGGAGAATGGCGTGAACCCGGTAGGCAGTGGAGATTGCAATGAACGGAGATCGTGCCACTGCACTCCAGCCTGGGTGACAGAACGAGACTCCGTCTCAAAAAAAAAAAAAAAAAAAAAAAAAAAGAGATGGAGTCTCACTCCGTTGTCTAGCCTGGTCCCAAACTCCTGGGCTCAAGCGATTCTCTTGCCTCAGCCCAGCCTCCCAAGTAGTTGAGACTATAGGTATGTGGAACCACATCTGGCTCATTTTTTGTATTTTCTGTAGAGACAAAGTTCACCATGTTACCCAGGCTGGTCTCGAACTCCTGGGTTCAAGCAGTCCACCTGCCTTGGCCTCTCAAAGTGCTAGCATCACAGGCACAAGCCACAATGTTCGACCTAATAATCTTATTAGTTTGACTCACACTTGCCAGCAACTGTTAGAAAACTCCAAATAGGCTGGGTGCGGTGGCTCATGCCTGTAATCCTAACACTTTAGGAGGCTGAGGCAGGCGGATCACGAGGTCAGGAGTTTGAGACCAGCCTGGCCAGCATGGTGAAACTCTGTCTCTACTGAAAATATAAAAATTAGCCAGGCATGGTGGCGGGCACCTGTAATCCCAGCTACTCGGGACACTGAGGCAGGAGAATCACTTGGAACAGGAAGGCAGAGGTTGCAGTGAGCTGAGATCACACCACTGCACTCCAGCCTGGGCGAAAGAGCGAAACTCCATCTCAACAACAACAACAACAAATGTAAATTACAGTAGCTTAAACTGGAAATTTGTCTCTTTCACATAAATAGAGTCCAGTAGAAGCCATGCAGGACTAGCAGGGCAACTCCACAATCATAGAGCTCCCTAGTTCTATGGGTTTGTTTGTTTGTTTGTTTGTTTTGAGACAGAGTAATTCCAGCACTTTGGGAGGCTGAGGCGGGCGGATCACCTGAGGTCAGGAGTTCAAGACCAGCCTGGCCAACACGGTGAAACCTTGTCTCTACTAAAAATACAAACATGAGCCAGGTGTGATGGCACATACCTGTAATCCCAGCTACTCAGGAGGCTGAGACAGGAGAATTGCTTGAGGCCGGGAAGCAGAGGTTGCAGTGAGCCGAGATCACACCACTGCACTCCAGCCTGGGTGACAGAGCAAGACTCGGTCTCAATAAATAAATAAATAAATAAATAAATAAATAAATAAAATATCCGTTGGGCCATGTGCACCTGCACACCAACAAGCAAGACCTTCCTCCTGCAAGCTGCCCCCTTGTTTCTCTGCCCATGGCAGTGCCTCTTATGAGTCCCCATCTTACTTAACATGGATTCCTTCTCCCTCTGTTTGGGTCCTCTTCCCCTGTGGCCTCTTGTCTGCCCCTGTGTGTCCGATGCCGGGGCTCCATCCTTGGCCCTCCTCCTGTTCTCCCCCATCTTCTGCGTTGCCAGGGACATCTCATCCAGTGCTTTAGCTTTAGGGACCTCCCAGGGCATGATGGTTTCAGGTCTGTGCTTCCCCCTTTCCTTTCTCCCCAGGGCTTTTCTGCCTTTTCAAAATCTCCCCCACAAGGTCCCATAAGCTCCTCGGGCCTTGTCTAACTCGGAACTCCTGGCTGCCAACCCCTCTCCCCATGGCCTCCAGCCCCAGTGCCCAGGCCAGACACCCTGGACTCCCCTGAGTCCCTTTTCTTCCCAACCCACTTCCCGCCCAGCAGCAAATCCCATCAATGGGAGCCCGGAGCTCAGAACTGCCTGTGATCCTTGCTCCTCTCTGTTCTCCTCTGCCCCTCCCGCTCCCTTTCCTCCCTGCACAATTCCTGTAGCCTCCTGGCCTTTCCCCACCACTCCCTCCCTGGGTCTTAGTACATCTCTGCTTACAGCTCTCCAGCAGATTCCCACGGCACACTGGACTAAAGCTCTGAGCTATGGCCTCCAAGGACACTGCCCGCCCTTCCCACCTCATCTCAGGCCTCCTTTTCCCTCCCTCATCCTCTCTACTCTGACCAGCCCAATCACCTTGCAGCTTCTCCAGCACACCTAGCTCAGTCTTATATCACGCCCTTGTGCTGTGTGTGCTCTCTGCCAGGGATGCCCTTCCCCCAAAGCTCTCCAGCCGGAGGGACGCTGCCCCTCCAAACACTCTCCATTCGGGGCCCCCTTAGATCACCAGCTCCAGGGAAGAGGGACTTTGCCTGAGTGAAATGGAGCCCTCAACCCAAACCTGTTTGTTCCTGCCACTCTAGGACACCTTGAGCCCCATCTTCTGGGGAGTGGGGGTCCCTGCACTTGTGCTGTTAATAACAATTGCTCCCAGGGACTACCTGAAGCCACTTCAGTGGCCCCCACATCCTGCCCCAGCGATGGCTCAGGGTGCCTGTGTGCCCAGAGTTTGGGCAGCTTTGGGATTGGGGGTCAAGCAGAGACTCTTAAGTCATGGTTCCAGGCAGAACTGGCTTCATGAGCCTGCAACCTGGGCAGTCACACAGGGCCCCAGGCTCAGAAAGGCCCCATACTTGGGTTTTTGTTGTTGCTATCATTTTGGGATGGAGTCTCGCTGTGTTTCCCAGGCTGGAGTGCAACGGCGCGATCTCAACGCACCACAACCTCTGCCTCCCAGGTTCAAGCAATTCTACTGCTTCAGCCTCCCGAGTAGCTGAGATTACAGGCATGCACCACCACACCCAGCTAATTTTATTTTATTTTATTTTATTTTATTTTATTTTATTTTATTTTATTATTTGAGACGGAGTCTCGCTCTGTTGCCCAGGCTGGAGTGCAGTGGCGGGATCTCAGTTCACTGCAAGTTCTGCCTCCCGAGTTCACGCCATTCTCCTGCCTCAGCCTCCCGAGTAGCTGGGACTACAGGCGCCCGCCACCACGCCTGGCTAGTTTTTCGTATTTTTCGTAGAGACTAGAGACGGGGTTTTACCATGTTAGCCAGGAAGGTCTCAATCTCCTGACCTCGTGATCCACCCGCCTTGGCCTCCCAAAGTGCTGGGATTACAGGTGTGAGCCACTGTGCCCGGCCAATTTTATATTTTTAGTAGAGACAGGGTTTCACTATGTTGGTCGGGCTGGTCTCAAATTCCTGACCTCAGGTGATCTGCCCGCCTCGGCCTCCCAAAGTGCTGGGATGACAGGTGTGAGCCACCATGCCCAGCCTATCTTGAAATTCTTAATAACTTTATTTTATTTTTATTGTTTATTTTATTAGAGACTGGGGTCTCACTATGTTGTCCAGGCTAGCCTTGAACTCCTGGGTTTAAGCTATCCTCCCACCTCAGCCTCCTGAGCAGCTGGGACTACAGGCATCACCACTGTACCCCACTTAACAACTTTCTAACAATGGGCTCCACATTTTCATTTGGCATGGAGCCCTGCAAATTACGTAGCTGCTTCTGGTTTCAGGGACGTTCAGCTGATAATGCCTGAAGATTCGGAGAGCCAGGTGCTGCTTTCCCTGGGACCCCATGGCCCACAGCCTTCTCTGCTTCCACAACAGCCCCCAGCACTCAGGAGGCCTCAGGTGCTGCAGTGAGAGCTGGGGGATCCACTAGAGAGGGGAGCGTGGGCCTGGGGTTCCAGCAGGCATGGCGAGCAGGTGTCAGGGACGTGGGCCTGGGATTCCAGCAGGCATGGGGAGCAGGCGTCGGGGCACTGCACATCCTCCCTCCTAGGAGGCCCTGGACCCTGGCCTGGGACTCTCACGCCCACCCCCTTGGAGCAAGCAGCAGCAGCTTTGTGGCTATTGGGGCAAGCATGCACCTCAGGTGCACGGCTTGTTCTCTGGCTGCACCCCACCCCATTGCTGGTTGGAATAGCAGCAGACACCAGATCCATAATGGGCCAGATTCTGACTTCTGGATTCCACACATTGGTCAGCACTTCTGAGGTCAGGTAGGACAAATTAAGTGCTGCTGGCTGAGAGGCCGGAGTTCCCAGCCTCTCTAGTGATGGACCCAACCTCAGAGACCTGACTATATACCATCCCTTGCTCCCAGCTGTTCCTGCCTTCAAACCCAAGCTGTGGGGTTTGCTTCAGCCAGCTGGAAGGCACTAGCTCTCTGAGGTCCTAGGAGTGTGCAATAGTGGAAGACCTAGGCATCAGAGTGCCTCCCCTGCCCCCGAAAATGACCCATGTGGAAGCTGAGGGAGATTTATTGAAAGGAAGGACAGCGAGTGGGTCTCACAATTTGATCTGCCCCAGAGTGGGGCTGGGAGGTTACCGAGAACGCAGTCCTGGGGTGGAGGAGGCCCTCAGAATCACACCTCCAGGTGTCACACCTCCAGGCTGGACTGAGAGGAGCTGGGCTTGTGACCCACGGGGTTCTTACGCATCAAGGTGCGGCGCTAGGGGGTGGCCAGTGGCGAACCACGTGCCGGTAGGAGGTGGCCAGGTAGTCGAAGTAGTTGATGTTGAGTTTCTGGGCGATGTAACGGCCCAAGTATTCCATTTGCTGTGGGAGCAGGTGGCGCTCAACTGGGGCCGGGACAGGACAGACCCCGAGTCGCCGTCCAGGCGTCTCCTTCCCCTACCAGGCCGCACCCCCAGTCCTGCCCGAAGCCCTGGCGCCCTCTCCGGCCCCCAGCAATGAGGACTGCATTGTATTTACCATCTGCGTGAGGAAACGGCCCCACCCAAAGACCTTAAACAGTGATCTTGTCTTCCTGTTCAAAGAGAGGGCGCGTGTCTGGGCGGAACCCACCTCGTAGCGCTCAGACAGCTGCACCAGCACCAGCGGCTCCAACCTGTGGCCGCCGAGGACCAGCTGGAAGAAGCACCTTCCGTAGGCTGCGGGGAGAGTGGACTCAGCCGGCCTGACCGCCCCTCTGACCTCCCAAGCGGCCTCCCAGTCCCTGGCCCACCCTCCCGGCCAGTCACCGTCGGAGTTGAGGGCCAGGCGCACGTAGACCAGGTGCAAGGGGCCCTGGCACACGGTGCGGCCCTGGATGGAGAAGTGGTACACGCCGCGCGTGTGGTTCAGCACCAGGCGGCGCCGCGGCAGCGACGAGATCACGAGCCACAGGCCCACGCCCACGCCGTACGCGAGGAAGACCCAGGTCTCCTGTTTCTGTACCTGCGGGCGCCGCAGGGAGCGTCTGAGCTGAGAGGCGCGAGGCCGGCCCTTGGGGGAGGAGGGCGATGGGGGTCGGGCCCAGGGGCTCACACCTCTCTCAGGGAGCCCAAGCTGACCAGGACCACGCAGACGACAAAGAGCAGCATCCCCTTCCACAGCGTGTCCAGGTAGTACTCGAGCACGAAGACTGGGGGCGGCGCGGCGCATGAGGACGCCCTGGCCCTGCCCGCAGCCAGGGGTGGCGGTGCCAGGGCTTGGCCCTGACTGGCTGGGTCCGCGCAGGGCTAGGGGAGGCGGTGTCTCCGCCCCCAGGAACACCGACTGGCCCCGCCCAGGGCCCTGGCTCTGCCCGCCTGGCTCCGCCCTATTCAGGCCCGTCCCCGGACCCGCCCCACCCCGCCCCGCCCAGCCTCGCGCGCACCGTTTGGCTGCTGCTGCATGAATGGGTAGAAGCTATTGTTTTTGAGGCGCCTGGCCAGGTGGCGCTCCGGAGAGGAGAGTCCTAGGGACCAGAGCTGGAAGCGCCAGCCGATGGAGGTCGTGGGCAGGCTGCCGGGCCTGGCCTTAGGGATCTGCGTCAGGCAGAGGTGGTCAGCCCGGCCGCTCGCCCGCTGCCGCCGCCTGCTGCCCACAGCCACGCTCCTACCTGGGTGAACAAATTCTCCAGGGCTGCAGGCCCAGGAAGGAGCAGGAGCTCATAGGCGACTGGCAGGGCAGCGAGGCCAGGGAGCGGCCCAGGGTGGACCGCGCACGGGTTCTAGAAGTTCTGGGCGGGTTCTAGAAGGGGCCGCTCTGTTAACCACCTCCTAGGGAGTCGGGGGTGAGGTCCTGCGGTGGGCATTAACTTCTTGGCCAGTCCATCCCCTGGAGGCCCCCTCTATGGCCTGTTCACAGTCCTCATCTGAAAGGTGGATGGATGGACACCCTAGGACTGAGCTGGAGAGAAATTTGCAGGCGGGGACCCCTCAATGAGCCCCACAGCTGGGCGGGGCCCCACCTCTCCCCCTACATGCAGCCACAGACAAGCTCACCAGTGTTCCTGAGGGTGGAACACACACACTGGAGCCAGCAGTGGGCAGGCAAAGGCATGGCCACCTGCAGGCTTAAGAGCCCATGGGGCCATCCTGACCCCACAACACAGAGGCTGTGGGTCGGCTGTAGCCCCAGTGGCTCCATCAGGTATAACCCGTTGCCCAACCCTACCCTGAGGACCACACACAGAGCTCCCAAAAACGTTTTATTTTTTAAAAAATGCTCAAATATCTGAAATTGGGCAAAGGTAGGGGGTGGGCAGGCGGGCTGAGCTGCCCCAGGTCTGTGGCTGCCTAGCTGGGCAAGGGGCTGGTGAGCAGCTGCTCCAGACACCACTGGACTTCCTCCAGGCCCCGGTAGGCCCGCTTCAGACCCCGGGGAAGGCAGCGGCAGGACTCCAGGTTGAGGTAGAGCAGGCCTGGGCAGCTGCTGATCACAGAGCTGTGGGGAGAGCAGGCCACGGGAAGTTGAGCTGTTGCCCCAGAAGGGCTGGGCCAGGTTAGGGAGCTGTGCCTCCTGGCGTTCCACACCTGGCTCTGCCACCCATAGCCACCAAGACCAAGCCCAGTTCCCCTGGTGTCCCTAAGCCCACCCCACGCAGGGGCTTGGACAGTATGCATGCCCCTCTGACCCCTGGAGCTCTCAGGCCAGGCAGGACACCACTTCCAGGCCCCTGGCAGATGCGGTGACAGCCACCCTGGCTCCAGGGACTGGGGTTGGGGATGCTGACCTGACCGTGCTGGGTGTGACCCGGGTGCCCCTGAGGTTAAGAGAGCACAGGGCTGGGTGTGAGCCCTCAGGGGTGCTTAAGAAGGCAGCCAGGGCCTGCTCCAGGTCCTTCTCACTGAAACCCTGGCCACTCAAGTCCAGTTCTCGCAGTGTATGGCACCACTTCTGAGTCAACAGGGGGCTGCCCTCCTTGGCTAGAGTCAGCCGGTCTGACGTGCCATACAGGCCCAGATGAAGCTGCTCCAGCTCTGCGGTGAGAGGAGTGAGCACAAGCTGCAGGGCGACAAGGACTCCCACAACTCACCTGCCCGGCCACCACCCAGGACCGCTGACCCTGGCACGGCACAAGGGTCCCCCCACACCTCACCCATTCAGCCACCACCCACACCTCACCTGCCTGCCCACCACCCAGGACCACTGACTACAGCATGGCACAAGGGCCCCCACACCTCATGCGCCTGGCCACAACCCAGAACCACTGACCCCCACACGGCAGATCCTGAAGGCCAGCCGGCGTGATGCGCGCACAGCCACGAAGATCTAGTAAGCGCAAGTTGGGAGAGCCGTGGAGTAGGCGGCCCAGGACCTCGTTGCTCACAAAGTTGCAGGTTGAGCTTGCCAGGCAGAGTTCCTCCAGGCTGGGGAAGCCTGGTCCGGGAGCCACCCCTCGTCCCAGAGGCTTGGGCAGCCACATCAGGTTCAGCAGCCGCAGCACCTGGGGGCAAGGCCCAGGCTGTAGATAGGGGAGCGTATAAAAGGTGGGAGAGGCAGGGCGCCAGGTACCTGGAGCTGGGGGCAGCCTTTCTGCAGAGCCTCAACAGGCAGCTGAAGGGGAATGCTGTTACGGTTGATGCCGGTGCTCACCTCCAGAACCTGGAGCTGGGGGCAGCAGCTGCCCTGCAGAGGTGTGGGGGAAGGGGGTCACAGGGTCAGTGGCCTGGCAGTCCCCAGCTCAGCATCTGGCTCTGCTCCCACCAATGCCAACCTACCAGCAGTGCACCCAGGATGGCTGTCGTCTGGGAGCTGTAAGTCAGCCACAACTTGCGCATTCGGGACCCTGCCTCCTCCAAGAAGCTCACCACAGCTGTGGACTCCACCTAGGGTCCCAATACAAGAGCACCCGTCACCCCAGCCTGGGCTTTTTCAGGGCCCCTTGGGACACAGGGCTCACCATGGAGTGCTGTAGGTCCAGGCTATGGAGCTGGCAGCAGGCTTTGGCTAGCATGACCAGAGCATCAGCAGTCACACCATGGCAGCCGGAGAGCTTTAGGAAAGTGAGCCGAGGACAGGACTCGCCTACCAGCTGCGGGGAGACAGAGGGGCAGCTGGGGTTGGGAGAGGGCAGGCTAAGATCCACAAGGGAAACAAACAGGTGGCTGGTGCCAACCCCACGCTACCGCCTTAGCTGCGACCTCCTTTCTGCCCATGCCAGGCCTAATTGGGTGTCCCCGCCTCTGACACCTCCCTGCTGGAGGAAACAGCAGGAAAGGAGAACCAGGCAGGCAGGCAGGCCTCCCAATGGAGCAGCGTTGGGCCCTCAAGGTGCCTGACCCACTTCCTAGAGTACTCAACAGTCCCAGAGGGTCACAGCTGGTGTGCAGGGCAGCCTGGAGCTCTCACCTTCAGCACGGGGTGTACCTGAGACTTCCAGTGGATGAGGGTCAGCCTCTGGAGCTGTGAAAACCTGGGCCGACAGCAGAGGCAGAGCTGCACTAATGTTCCCACACGAGTCCTTCCCACCCAACACCTTGGTGCAGGGAGACAGAAGGAGCCTGGAGCCAGGGGACAAGGAAAAGAGGAAACCCCTCACCGATTAGGCATAAGCCACTCCAGGGAAGCAAGGAGCTTCTTCTCCGCCTTGACCCCGCCCTTGGCAGGCCGGCCGGCCAGCGGGGACGACAGGGTCACCGTGTGCCAGAGCGCGGGTTGGGAAGCGGCCTCCTGCCAGCGGCGGCACACGCGCGCAGCCCTGGGAGGACAGCGTGCTGAGGCTGCCGGCCCCTTCGTAGGTGATACCCCCTCTCGCAGCGCAGTGGACATCCCGGCTCAAAGCCGGGCTCCTGGGACTCCAACTGGGCGCCTAAGGGGCTGCGCTCTCGGGCGGAGGGGTGCGCGCTCCGATGCTTTCGCCCTCCGCCCCCGCCCGGGCCACTGCTCCGACCACGTCTGGCCCAAGTCGCTGCGCTCGGCGACGGGCCCGGCAGCAGCGTTACCTGCCGAGGAAGGGCATGGGCCCGTCCGCCGCCACCAAGAACCCGAAAATCTGCACCAGGATTTCCAAGGGAATGCGGTCTCCCCAGCCCGCGTCGGGCGCTTCCTCGGGCGAGGGCGCCGGGTCGGGCCTGAGCGTGGCCTTGGGCTTGGCCGCGGCGCGGCCCGGGGGCGGCTGCCGGGGAGTGCGGCGGGCAGCGCGCCGCTGTGCGCGGGTCCGGGAGGGTCCGGGTTCGGACAGCACCAGCAGCATGCTGTCGGACGGAAGCAGGTGGTACCCGGAGCCGCTTGGCGCCAGCCGGTCCCACCACCAGTCCTCGGCCGTGCGGGCCCGCGGCGCTGCCCGAGCTCTGCGCCGGACCTGCCGGGAGGCCGGGGAAGCCATGACCACCGACGGCGCTTGGGGCAGCTCCCTGCAGCGGAACGGGCGGGACTTACAGACTGACATCCCCCGACTCTTGTCTGCGCCCGCCCGCTGACCCGCTTCCGGGGCGGAACTTCCGGCCGTGGGCCATGCGGGGGGCGGGCCCGGAGTCGCGGCGGGTGAGTCCGGTGGTGGCTGCTGTCGGGTCCTGGGCTTTCTGGACTGAGGCGGCGTCCCTGGGCCGGACGGCGGCGTCCTGGCGTGGCGAGAAGCCGGCACTAGAGCGGGAGCGCACTGGGCGCGGGACGGGAGGCGTAGGGACCGGACGGCTCGCGGGTCGCCCACCTGAAGCTGGTGAGAGGGCGGCGCCCCTACGAGCAGAGCCGCCCCAGCCACTCCTCTGGGATCTGACTTGGCTCCTGCGGTCCCGGGCACCGCGAAGCCCTGGGGCGTGCTTGGCTCCTGCTGGTAGGCGCCTTGTCCCAGTGTCCGGCTTGGGGTGGTGGTTGCAGTGACTCCAACCCCGCCTCTCCCTGGAGAGGAGGGCTCCACTCGCTCCTTCGGCCTCCTCCCCTGGGGCCGCAGCGACTCGGGCCGGCTTCCTGCTTCCCTACCTGCCGGCGGTCCCGACGCTGGCGGGCGGTGCTGCTGGGTACGTTTTAGCCAATCCTCCCCATCCCAACTCCTGCCCGGGGCTCCCCCTGTTCCCCTGGTCTCACCCTGTTGATTCCGGCTCTGTATCCTGCCTATTTGTCTGTTTCTTTCAAGCTAGAAGAGGTCTTCAGTTCCCAGAAGAGCCAAAGCGTCTCTGGACCTAGGTGGGAAAAGAACTGGCTGTGACCTTTGCCTTGACCTGGAAGGGCGCAGCCTTGGACTGAATGGCAGCACCCACACCCGGCCGTCCGGTGCTGACCCACCTGCTGGTGGCTCTCTTTGGCATGGGCTCCTGGGCTGCGGTCAATGGGATCTGGGTGGAGCTACCTGTGGTGGTCAAAGAGCTTCCGGAGGGTGAGTGGGAGGAGGTGCAGGTGTGCCCAGGAAGGTGGGCTCTATCAGTTCTTCTTCCCTTGGGTATCATGCCCCTGACATGGCCTCCTCCCTTCCCTGCAGGTTGGAGTCTCCCCTCCTACGTCTCTGTGCTTGTGGCGCTGGGGAACCTGGGTCTGCTGGTGGTGACCCTTTGGAGGCGGCTGGCCCCAGGAAAGGGCGAGCGGGTCCCCATCCGGGTGGTGCAGGTGCTGAGCATGGTGGGCACAGCTCTCCTGGCCTTTCTGTGGCACCACGTGGTCCTAGTGGCAGGACAGTTGCATTCTGTGGCCTTCTTAGCACTGGCCTTTGTGTTGGCGCTGGCATGCTGTGCCTCTAATGTCACTTTCCTGCCCTTCCTGAGCCACCTGCCACCTCGCTTCTTACGGTCATTCTTCCTGGGTCAAGGCCTGAGTGCCCTGCTGCCCTGCGTGCTGGCCCTAGTGCAGGGTGTGGGCCGCTTTGAGTGCCCGCCAGCCCCCATCAACGGCACCCCCGGCCCCCCACTCGACTTCCCTGAGCGTTTTCCCGCCAGCACCTTCTTCTGGGCACTGACTGCCCTTTTGGTCACTTCAGCTGCTGCCTTTCAGGGTCTCCTGGTGCTGTTGCCACCACCATCTGTACCCACAGGGGTCTTAGGATCAGGCCTCCAGGTGGGAGCCCCAGGAGCAGAGGAAGAGGTGGAAGAGGCCTCACCATTGCAAGAGCCACCAAGCCAGGCAGCAGG